TTTTGTTGTTGCCCATAATTTACACTTTCTGAGGTTGGGTAAAATGTTTTATGTCTCAAAATGATAAATCAATATATAAGCAAAGGTGAGCTAATAGTAATGTTATCTCTTTTTGAGAAAGATGGTGATAACAATGATAACAACAACAACAATAGAACATTATTTTTTAAAATAAGTATCTTTTGGTTTCTATTTGCTGATCCTTGGAAATATTCTTTTGTTGTGTGCCTTTAAGGTGTTTTTTTCTGATTTATGATAACGCTAAGCCTATCACAATGTTTTCTTTCATTGACAAGATTTGTCAATGGGATTTGCCATTGCCTTCCTCTGAGGATGAGAGTGTGTGTCTTGCTAAAGATTACCCAGTGGGTTTCCATGTCTAAGTAAGAATTTGAACCCTTGCCACTTGGAGTTCCTGCCCAGAAACAACTGCACCACACTAGCTGTCTCCAGAGCACCTAGGGATAGACTCTAGGTATCCTACAAACAGAGAAAGAGAAAGTTGCTGTTTAAGAAGAACTCACTCATGACATGAAATGCTAAGAGGTAGTGGGAAAAGTAACACATTTTTAAATGTATGATATCCGTTTACTTTGTTCTGTAAGGAAAATCCATCTCACATGCCAACTTGTAGACCAACTGAAATTGTGGAAGATTCCCAGAAGCATCCTATCATGAAAGACAGGAAATGATGCTTAACTAGAAGAGTGTTTTCCTGGTCCCATTGCTGTTTTCCCCCTTCAAATTATTTTAAAAGAAAACAAAATCTCAATCCCCATCCAATCAAAATCTCAAGCAATGAATAGATGTCATATTCTGACCTAAGCATCAAATTTAATTATGTGATGAAATCACCAAGAGAAAGCAAAAGCCAGTGAGGGCAAAAGAAATTAATACAATTTAAAGCATGATTTTCAGAAATTAAGACAAAGTTCATAGTTTTAGCTGTGTTGTAAACTTGGGGCAGCTCTACATTTTTAGTTGTTTTATCTTGTTTTACATAGTAAAAACAGATGCTTAACTTTCAAAGATTCATACAGAAAACAATAGTTAAATTTGAAGAACATAATTTGTTATATGATTTAATTGAAAGTGTTAATAAAGTAAAAACAATTAAGTATAATTGCTGCAATTGCAAATCTGCTCAATACTCCCCATCTAAAAGCTCATTACAGTGACAGAAAATAGAGAGAGAGAGAGAGAGAGGCCATGTCTCCTTAAAGCTTTCATTATGCTTATTTTTAGTTTCCAGATAGTGTTTGTAAAATCCACAATATATCTTAGGGGCAGCACCCACCTAAAGGCAGTTGGAAGGAAATAAAAGCTGAGAATTCTAATTAAAATGCACAAAAGTGCTGAATACAGGGGAAACAATGTTCTGTGTTTTTTGAAAGAGACAAATGATAAATGTTTGCACAGCTAAAAGTCAAAACTTCTTAGAAAATAGAACTTGGCAGTGTGGCGTGGTCATGTGACAATGATGTTTCACAGCATTAAATAAACTGACAGCTTCTCAGTTACTGCAGAGGCAAGCATACCAATGTTGTACTTCACAGAGTGGGAAAGGGCCAACCCAAGATACTTTTTTGCCTGAGCAGGACAAGAGGTCCATTCTCCATCGTATTTAAAAAAGGCAACTGAATCTTACTTTAATATGGGCAAAGGCCATGTCTGCTACTTACGCCTGCAACTGCTAGCTTCTGCAGTCTTCCAATAAATGGAGATATAGCAGAATTCCAGCAGGAACAGGAGAGAAGTTACCATTGCTGGTGTTCACTTCACTCAGCCTCCCCTTATGTATGGCCCTGGGTGAGACTAGTTTGCACTGAGAATCATTTTCCCATGCACACATAATGTTGGCTATGCCTGATAAGACAAAACAATGACATGTTGTCCATAGGAGTAATAGGAAGAGGTCCTGGTGAATAGAAGAAACTTATGCGTTCTGACTCCATGACAGGACAGTTGTTATAGTCAAGATAAGTGCTTACCTGACCCTTTGATGAATGCATGGAGGCACTTTTCATTTGTACTTCAGCTACACAACTGCAGGGCTTTACTTGCCTTCTTACAAATGAAAAGCAGCCATTTAGAAATCATGTAGCTCTACAGATGTTGTGCAAGGACAACTCCCATCAGTCTTAACTAATGAGCAGTATTGGGAGTTGCTGGCTAACAAAATCTATATTTTGGTTGTATAAGTGCTCCTGATCTTTATAATAGAGTGTAAATGGAAGGATATAGAAAGCTGTCTTAACCCAGATAAGTTTGTTTAGTATTAAAAAACAGTATTATGCACATACATTGACATCAGCTTTCCTGGAAATCTTTCACACTACAAAGTTATATCACTATGATTCTACTACCATTGCTATAGCAATATGCTGTAGAATCCTAGGGTTTCAATTTCAGCATAACTACTTAGAATTCTCCAATGGAGAACTCTAGTGCTTTACCAGTGTACAAACCCTAGCATTACATAGGATGCAGCCATGGTAGTGAAAGTAGAATCATAGTGCTATAATTGTGTAGTATGAAAGGACCCCCAATAATTGGTCTTCCAGCATACCACTGGGGACATTTTGAATGAAAAGCATATGCTCCATCACTGATCTATTGCTTTTCCCCAGACTTGGAGACACAATTCACCTTGATATATGAATCCAGTGTCTAAAGTGGGGGAAAAAATGAAATTTCCTTTCTCTCAGTCATGTTATAGATTTCAATTATGGTAATGTTCTTTGTTTCATAGAAAACTGAGCATAATTATACTGGCTTATGCATTTGCTACATATTCAAGGAATTTCCCACATTAGCCAGATGCTCTTCATCCCAACACACTCTCCTGGCAAATTACATAAGGCTTCTACATCTAGATTTTTATTCTTGCTGCTTTTGTCGTTTTGATCAAGCTTGAGCTTCACTGCTTATACCCTGTGGTCTTTGTTACTCGCACTGACCATTGTATAGAAAGAGTGATTTTTTTCATACAATATTTTCAAGGTATATGGTCCTGTAATGAGAAGACTCTGAACCTGGGGAATTACGGTACTAAAGTCCAAGTCTTCTGTGGGATCTTTTATCCTATGTTTATGGAGGTGGCTAGAGAAGAGACTGATATAGAAACAAAGCTTTATTTGAGGATTCAAGCATACAAAGACACCCTAACATACACGCACACACACAAGAACTGAGGAGTAAAGTAGTTAGCTTGGATAGGAACACAAGGCTTTCTAATGGTGATAATTACCTGCAAAGATGTTGCTCCAATGATGGATAGACTCAACCAAAAAGAACAGTAGGTAGAGCCGGAGACTCTAGCTAAAGATCATGAATGGTACAGGACTGTCATGAAATCTATCCAGCCACCATTTTCCCTGAGATTTTGTGGAGTATTTAAACCCTGGAAATGAAGAGTTGCTATTGAACATCAAAGGATTCCGATTGCTATGCTTTGAAGTAGACAATTTCCAGAAGAGGAGAGATGGGATGTAGGTTTTTTATTTTTCCTCACCTTAAGGACACATCCTGACTGGCTCATAAATCTTTTCAGGTGTGAATGTCCTGTATTGCAGCTCCTAAGCCTGGCCTTTTGATCTGCAAATGGCTTGTAAATGCAGATTCACCTTGGAGTGCCTATGTGATGTGCTCACCTCGAGCCCATAGTAATGGAGGCCCTTTCCAGCCTAGGGCTTCTGATGGAGATCCAAAGGGATCTTGATATCAAAACCCAATCATAACAGTCCTTTGCAGGGTAATAGAAGAAGTGGTGTGGTGGTTCATTATGAAGTGTGGACACTCATCAATACAGCAAAGTCAGCAAAGCCCTGTAAACCAATGAATGTCCCAAACCATTTACAGCCATTTTTATCTTCACTGTAAGGAAGATTTCTGTACATATAATAGGTCTTACATCAAGACCAGGCTACCTGAAATACCTTGCAGTCCAAGTCTCAAATGGATTTTAGATCAACAAGTTATTGAACAAACTTGCTCATTTTGACATCTGGACATTGTTTTCAGTGGTACTCTTTGTATAATGGCATGGAGAAGTGGTGAAACTGAAAACAGGGAAAACTATAGGGGCACTGAAGAAATGTTACTACAAGAAAAGATACATGATTTAACTTGCCCTAAAAGAAATAGTAGCAAAGTGATAACTTAAATATTTTATGGTGCTGAAATTTGAGGTGATATTGAGGGGAATTAACACTTTCAAAGCCTTGGAAAATTTACAGAATAAATTCATTCATAAACTTCATTCTTTCTCATCTGAATATCTTCACTTCTTTGCATATAGAATCTGGTTGGCATCAATTAAAACAGGAGTAGACTGTGTCCAGTTAAAGTACTGTAAAAATTACTGTTCTACCAGCACTGTGTTATAAAGGAATGACCAATAATCAACCCTAGAAGCTAAATTTACAAAATTTCCTACATAATTATTGGGACAGAAGCCCTCTCTATGTTCCCTCCACAGTACCAACCTTTTGGGTTCCTATCAGCCATCTTGCTCTTTTACATTTAAGAGCCTTTCCTGTTACTTGGGTCACAAAGTGCCCACTATTGTGGACCAGTGGCTGTGTTGGTCAGGGGCTTCATTATGGTGATGCATGAGGAGTTGTTCTTGTTAATTATTGAATTTCAACATTCAGACACATTTAAGTAAAAATGGTAAAAATCTATTCTGTAACAAATAAAATGAACATCTTTATTTTAGGATGGTTCCACACAAAGCAATACTTCTCCCTGAATTCCTTCCATATTCTCAGCTCTAAAACTCTATTCATTTGCTACAAAGTTCAACATGCAAAAATAGTTTATACTCAGTTAAATTAGTGGGAGGGCAGGAGAGGGCAAAATCTTGCCCTTTCCAGAAGACTTTGTGTGTTTTTCTTCATTAATATTTTTTGTTATCTTGACCATACTCTGATGTTGCTTGGCCACATGTCTCCCAGTTTTCATCTGTGAAATGTTGGTGGGTATGGTTTGGGCAGAAAGCCAGAGTGGTATAGTGGTTTAAGTGTTGGGCTAGGACTCTGGAGATCAGGGTTCAAATTCCCGCTCAGCCATAGAAACCCACTGGGTGATCTTCAGCAAGTCACATTATATCAGCCTCAGAGGAAAGCAATGGAAAAACCCCTCTGAAAAAAACTTGCCAATAAAACCCTGTGATAGGGTTGCCATAACTGGAAAATGACTTGAAGGCACACAACAACTGGGTACATAAGGCCTGAAGGTTAACCTCTTTCATTGCATTTTAGGAAGTGGATTGTAATCCATAAAAGCTCACACAAAAATAAATCTATTATTCCTTTGAATGCAAACAAAATTTTAAAAGTGGCAGTCCTGTTTCTCTTTGTGCACAAAACTTTCAATTTAATATGATACGAATGGATGTAGAGCTACCTACAAATGCTTCTAGATCCATAGGGAAATTGGCTTCTGACCTCATAGTTTGTTGGCCAGCTTTCCATAGGTGCCAAAAGCTATCTACCATCTTACTTGTGTGTCTGTTTTTGCCACTCTGCATGCAGACATAGGGGGGAAGCAGACGAGGGCGTCCAGGACGCCCTGCGCCGGCACGCCGCGGGGCCGCAGCCTCCGCATCTCGGTGCACCGGCGGCGTCCCTGGAAGGAGCGCTAAATCAGCGCTCCTTCCTCAAGACATCGAAAGTGTGCCCTAAAAGCGGCGGGCGCACTTTTGCTGTCTTATCCTCCGCAGCGCATCTGGTCGCTGCGGAGGGAGGTTGCCCCGGCGCTTCAGGAAGAGGAAGGGGCGCCGAACGTGCGGCTGCCCCTCCTCTTCCGGGCCCGGAAGACGACTCAATTAGTCGTCTGCCGAGGCCCATACTCATATACATCTCTTCTTAGTATGCTAGCAGTTCTAGTTCTGCCAGCAGCAGCAGCAGCAGCAACACAAAAACAGCAACAACAACAACAAATAATGAGATACATAGCCACCTTTTTCCTACTGAATAAAAAAAGGCTTGTAAAACAAGGGAGTTAATAAAATCTTGCAAAACTTGTCCCTCTAATCATATTGCAAGTATATTAAGAGAACGTAGTTTTTGCAGAACATAGCAACTTTTCCTCTCTCTTGTAGATAGTGAAATAATACAGACTAAATGATAAGATGGCCATGTAAGCTGAGAGAAGCCATTATCTATGGTACATTAAGGATTAATTGACCAGAAATGCAGGATATTACACTGGACACAGCTGATGCCAGGTGTTATTTTGTTTTGAGAAAAATCTATATTTCATAAAGAACATAAAGAACAGAAGGCTTCAAAAATCTATGACAGGCTATGAAGAAGAATAAAATAGGTTTAGTGTAGTCCAGAAGATTGATGTTTAAAATTCATGGCTCTCAGCATTTTATTTGCTAGGCCATTAAAGAAATAAAATAACAAAAGCACTACACCTGACTCAGTTTTTCTAGAAAATGTTAAGTATAGTCCTTTATACAACCTATAACTTTCTGTGCCCCCATTTTTTTCATAGATTAGTGTTAGGCCTGACCTGATTGTTTGATCAGCTCATACTCAAAAGCTGCAACAACATTAACTCTTATCTTTAATTTCTTCACCTTGATGTGAGTTTTTTTTTATTCCTGTAGTTGAAAAATTCAGACTTGGGTCACTGGATACACAATAGCTGATTTAAGATAAAGAAACGCTTGCAAGCTTGTCTTCAATTAATGTAAAAATTACCCAAGGTGTTTTTGTTTTGTTTTGTTTAAAAAAGGCAATATAAGTCTATAAATAAAAAATTATTATTATTATTATTATTATTATTATTATTATTATTATTAGAAGGACTTGGAAAAAAATTCTGGCCTGGTCGTGAGTTTGGAAAAAAATGCCTGCCTGCCTCTGTTTTTGTTTGCATGTTTTTCCCCATCTGCCAGTTTTCTTCCAAAAAACACCCCTTCCATTCCCACCTCTTCTCTTCAGTGTGTGGTCATAGAAACTGCCATCCAAATTTTCCACTGTACTGATGTGTCAGGACACAGGGAACCATGGATAATGAAGCCTTCCCAAGGGCTAGTGCAATTGCTAACATCTCTGATGTATCCTTATTCTATTGACACTACTACTACAGTTGGCCACTGCAAGATCCATCTAGTAACAGTACAGTCTTGATGGGGTGCCATTGTTTTGTGATAAATCACCTTGCTATGATTTTGTAGGTTCACAAGCATTGTTAAAGCTGCTTTTGAAGCATGAAGCTGCTTTTTTTCTTTAAATGAATCTGCCCAGCCCCTCTTGATGAAAGCAGATATCCCAGGAGATCTGAGTATAAGCCTCCCAGATGATTCCAGATACCAAGCCATTGATGGAAGGCTGCCCAGCCATTCCTTGATCCCTAAGGACACAAATAAGACCATAGAGAAAGAGATGATCTCAACTCTGTCAGGAGAATGAAATGAAGGTTCATTCCCATATTGAATGCACAGAAAATTTCCTTCCCATAGGAGACCAGAGCAGCAGAATCTACACATTCTGAATCACCTCCCTCCACTTCCCTCTGGTAGTAGCAGTCCTCCCAGAGTTTGACAGCTGCCAGGCCTGGAAGGTTTATGGATGCAACACTAGAGCAAGAGAATAGCCTCCGTGCCCCCATCCAAAAAGGGACGTACATATACATAAGCCTCACTTAGATGTGAGCTCCCATCACTAGTCCCAGCTTTTGCCAACCTAGCAGTTTGAAAGCATGTAAAAGTGCAAGTAGGTAAATAGGAACCACTTTGGTGGGGAGGTAACAGGGTTCTGTGGAGTCATGCTGGCCACGTGATGGAGATGAACACCGTACCCTAAAGTTGGACATGACTTGACAACCTTATCAAAGGGGAAATCTTTACTTTTTTTTTTACACTTAAGTTGCTAAAAGTATGCCAGCCATAATGTCTTCAGAAAAAGTCCATGAAATAGGCAACTGGTGGAAATGGGACTGTTCCAACCTGTACAATTATGTGGGCATTATGTATACGGCAGTAATGTTCTGCTCATACACTGTACACTGATGTGGTAGCATTTACTTGAGGAGGAAGCAGCAGGAATTTGAGGGATCAAAGAATTACTGATGGAGTCAAGGTGTGCTACAACACAAGAGTCTATCCCTGTTCCATGGCTCATGCTATTACAAGAGATAGACTATTGGCCTGCTCAGCTTTGTCCATTACCTTAACCAGAAAAAAAAGTATCTTCAGTTGACCATGATGCTGGAGATTATTTTACAAGAGAACAAGCAGGTAAACATCATTTTAGCTGGGCTATTTTTACTGCAAAAATATTTGCAAAGGGGGAACAGCTAAGCCTCAGACTAGAGAGAATGGCTTTCTATATATCAGAGGAGGGAGACCAAAATGGTGAAAGGTCTGGAAATTATGCCCTGTGAGGAGTGAGTTAGGAAGCTGGGTATGTTTAGCCTGAAGAAGAGAAGGTTAAGAGGCTCAGAGAAGATGGAAAAATTCTAACAGGGGACAGAGAAAAAGCAGAACTAAATACCTTCTTTGACTCAATCTTCTCACAAAAGGAAAAGGATGTTCAACCTGAGGAAAATGGAGCAGAGAACACAATAGGTGAAAGGCAGCACAGAATAAGTAAAGGGGAAGTACAGGAATACCTGGTTAACATAAATGAATTTAAGTCACCAGGACCAGGAATACCTGGTTAACATAAATGAATCTAAGTCACCAGGACCAGATGAAATGCATCCAAGGATAGCAAAAGAACTGACAGATGTAATCTCGGAGTCACTGGCAATAATCACGGAGAACTCCTGGAGAACAGGAGAAGTCCCAGCAGACTGGAGGAAGGCAAACATTGTCCCCATCATCAAAAAAGGTAAAAAAGAGGATCCAAACAACTATCACCCAGTTAGTCTGATATCCATACCAGTTCATTAAATAGAGAGTCTATGAACATTTAGAAGGGAATGCCATAATCACTAAAAGTCAACATGGGTTTCTCAAAAACAAGACATGCCAGACTAATCTGATCCCTTTCTCTCTCTCTCTCTCTCTCTCTCTCTCTCTCTCTCTCTCTCTCTCTCTCTCTCTCTCTCTCTCTCTCTCTCTCTCTCTCTCTCTCTCTCTCTCTATCTATCTTTCTCTCTCTCTCTCTCTCTTTTGCATAAAATTACCAGCTTGCTAGATGAAGAGAATGTGGTAGACATAGCATATCTTGATTTCAGTAAGGCTTTTGACAAGGCCCCTGCACAATATTCTTGCAAACAAGATAGTAAAATGTGGGCTAGACAATACAACTGTTAGATGGATTAGTAACTGATTGACTGACCAAAACCAAACGGTGCTTAGCAATGGAGAGAAGTGACCAGTGGGGTGCCCCAGGGTTCTGTCCTTGGCCCAGTGCTATTCAACATCTTTGTCAATGATCTGGATGAAGGAATAGGGTCATGCTTCTCAAATTTGCAGATGACACCAAATTAGGAGGAATAGCTAATATCCCAGAAGACAGGATGAAAATTCAAAATGACCTTAATAGATTAGAAACATTGGTCAATGTCAACAAAATGAATTTCAACACAGATAAATGTAAGTTACTGCACTTAGGGCAAAAAAATGAAATGCATAGATTTAAGATGGGGGACATCTGGCTTAACGAGACTACGTGTTAAAGGGATCTAGGAGTCCTAGTAGACCACAAATTGAACATGAGTCAATAGTTTGATGCCACAGCTAAAAAGGCCAATGCAATTTTAGGCTACATGAATAGAAGTATAG